TTCTGTGACCTTTGTATTTTTATATTAAACTGTATATTATATTAAGTCTGTCAGACTTTTTATGTTCAAGCAAGCTTATATATAGGAAAGTGCTGTAAAGGCATTATTTTGTGAATCCCGATTTGTTTCTCCTATAGTAAGTGACCCTATACATTCAATTCTTTTTAAAAAAGCATCAGCCATGCTAAATTTTTGTTTGCCTTCATTATTGATCAGTCTTCTTTTTTTTTCTGATTTTTTTTGTAGTTGTAGATGGACACAATGCCTTTATTTTATTTGTTTATTTTTATGTGGTGCTGAGGATCAAACCCAGTGCTTTATGCATGCTAGGCAAGCGCTCTACCACTGAGCTACAGCCCCAGCCCCATCCCATGATTGAGCATTCTTTCAGGTCTCCTTTGGTGTAAAGTTGTTACTTTGTGCCTATACAGAGCACTGTTGCTCATTTCCCCCTCCATGGATGCAAAGAAGAACCACAGCATCACCTCCTTCAAATATTTACTTTGAAATTGACATTTTGATGCATTTGCCATAGCTCTTAGGCTGTTGTGACTATTTTGTACTGCTCAGTATTTATTTTTGTTTTTATGTTTTGCACTACTGGGAATTGAACCCAGATGTGCTGTATCATTGGGTTGTGTCGCCAGCCCCTTAAATTTTCTTTTTTATTTTGAAACAGGGTCTTGCTAAGCTGCCCAGGCTGGCCTCAAACTTGTGATCCTCCTGCCTCAGCCTCCTGAGTAGCTGAGGTTAATCTTTTATTCTTATTCTTTTTTTTTCTGATACTGTTAACTTGAAGAGTTTGCAGATGGGTTTGTTTGGGTCATTACATTTTTTCACTTTCTATCCAGCCCGGGACATTTATTTTGAAAGAGTTGCCTCGTGGTGCATGCCTGTAATTCCAGCTACTCAGAAGGCTGAGGCAGGAGAATCTCACAAGTTCTAGGCCAGCTGGGGCAATTTAGTAAGCCTCTGTAAAAAAAAAGTGGGTTGAGGAGGGGCTGGTCATGTAAAGATAAAAGAGTTGGTTCATTTCAGATTTTAGTGTTTTTTCTAACATCCAGAGCTACTGCCCTTGGTTTAGGGATATGGTTTTGAGTGTGTCCCTGTATGTGTAGGGTTGGTAAAGGAAGTTAACCCTTGTCTTTCTTTGGCTGTCCTTATGCTAGGGTAATGATTTAGGTATTGTGATGCCTATATTAATTGTTCAGGCAACTTGAAAGGATGTCAGAATTATGGTGTTGGGGGTGAAAAGACTGTGATGTTCTGTTTTTAAGGCGTTTGTAAACCAGTAGAAGAGGTCAATAACAATGACTAAATATCAGGTGATGTGCATGTTTAAATGGAAATTAGGCGCTGGTAACCTAGGCCCAGAGAAGGCAGACTTAATGCAGATGTAAGAAGAGAGGGAAAGGCGATGATTTTTGAGTGAAGAGTCTTAAGAGAGGCTCAGAATGTGAGATGGAGGGAAGAGGGTTTCAGGTAGAGGGTTAATAGGCATGAATCTAAGAATGGGCATATAAAGCTGGGAGAAATGCAAGAAATAACATGGATTTATGTATTACATGCTTTGCTTTGATGCTTATACTCCAGCTATGTCCCAGGATCTTGGTTTTCTTTCTTTATGGCTCTCACCTGAGATAATATGAAATAACTTCTAAAAAATGAGGAAATTTAAATAGGGATGGATCATAGGAGAAATGGCTAAGCAGATGGTATTTGTCTTCTGCTCTAAGCTTACTGGTGTCATGGAGTGTTAATTATTATAGCCTCAGCATGTGGCACCTTGGAAATGGTAAAGAAACATTTATCTTGTGAAGGGTGCCTATTTTCTGCCCCACCCCAACACATCTCCTCCTGCCAGTACCTTCTTCCTTGTTGAGTGGCTTCTCTTCTGTCAGGTATCTATCTAGTGGACCTACCTTTTCACTCACCCTGTAGACATGCCTGTCCTGCATCTAGTCACCTGTTTAGGATATAACTGCATTATAATTGGATGCACATTGGTATATGAGGAGGTGCTAACGGCTACCTATAGGGCTCCAGAAACTTCTGTCAACATTTACAATATGGCAGGTGAAGGGGAAACCAAAGTTGACAGAGTGACATTTCTTTTGAGTTTTTTCTTGATTTATTGCACAAGTTCACTGAAATGCTGAGTTTTATTCATAATAAGTCTCTCTCTCTCTCTCTCTCTCTCTCTCTCTCTCTCTGTGTGTGTGTATCTGCATTGTATGGTACTTACCATTAAGCAAAACAACATCCTGCAAATATGTTGCTTATATACCATGTGGTTTCACACACCCCTGTATGATCAGTTATGTTCCTTGGACTGGGAAAGTGGTTTTAGACCCTTACAGGATACAATAATTTCCCCAAAGAATCTGTCATACAATAATTAGCTGGTTATTTAGATGGAGGGTTTTTTAGCATCTGATAGCAGACTTTTGTTATTTTGAGCTGCACAGTGTTTTAAAATATCCTGCCTACATATTTAAAAAAAAATTTTTTTTTATGGTGCTGGGGATTGAACCCAGCACTCTACCAACTGAGCTATATCCCCAGCCTTCCTCCCTACATTTTGATAAGTTTTCACATTATAGATCCCACTTTCCCCAAAACCTTGCATCCCCAGTCTCTTTCACAGCTGGCATACAGGCTTGTGATCTTAGAGGAGGGTTATAGACAGAATAGAGTACTGTAAGGTAGCAGTCATTGTAGTGGAATTGATGATCTGGCGATCCTGTTGACAGAGGAATTTGGTTTTGAAGGAGTGGCAATGGTAAGATCATTCAAGGGAATTCAGTCCCAAGTGTTAACTAAGTGATGGTGGCAATGCAAAAATAAGAAAAGAAAGAAAGAAAATGACATTTTAAAAAACATAAAATTTTGGTATTTATCTTTTTTTTAAGGATTTGTGGGTTAGAGGGTCCACATAATTTTTTTAATATATATTTTTTTTTAGTTATAGATGGACACAATACCTCCATTTTATTTATTTTTATTTTTATGTGGTGCCGGGGATCAAACCCAGCACCTCACACATGCTAGACAAGCATTCTATCACTGAGCCACAACCGCAGTCTGGGTCCACATAATTTGAGTATATTTTCAGCCACTATCTCTCCAAGTATTTCTTCTATCTTTTTATCTCATTCTGTAATCCTAATTACAGTATATTAGAACGCAAGATATCGTCCCACAGACTTTGAATGTTCTGGGTTTCTTTCCCCCTACTATTTTCTGTGTTTTGATTGGGATAATTGATATGGGCCCACCATCAAGTTCACTGATTCTTTCCTTGGCTGAATTGAGCCTACCGATGAGCCCGTTGGAGGCTTTCTTTGTCCGTGTTTTCCATTTTTAACAGTGTCATTTTATTTCTTCTCACAGTTTCCATTTCTCTGCTGAAATTACCCATCTGATTTTACATGTTGTTCTCCTTTTGGGTTAGAGCTTTCAACGTATTACTTAACAATAATTTGAATTTCATTTTAGATATTTCTAACACCTCTTTGTATCTCATTCTAATTAGTTCTTTGTCTTTTCTGGGTGGTTTTTCTTTGCCTCCTTATGCCTTATGATTTATTTTTTATTTTTGGTAATTGGGATTGGACGCAAGAATGCTCCGCCACTAAGCTATATCCCCAGCCCCCTCCTTTTTTTTTTTTGGTACTAGGATTGAACTCAGGGGCACTCAACCACTGAGCCACATCCCCAAAAATATTTTGTTTTTTATTTAGAGACAGGGTCTCACTGAGTTGCTTAGCGCCTTGCTTTTGCTGAGGCTGGCTTTGAACTTGATCCTCCTGCCTCAGCCTCCCAAGCTGCTGGGATTATAGGCATGTGCCACTGCACCTGGCTCTCCCCAGCCCTTTTTATTGCTAAGTTGCTTAGGCCTTAGTAAGTTGGCCTCAAACTTGTGATTTTCCTGCCTCAGCTTCCAGAGTGGCTGGGGTTATAGGTATGTGCCACTGTACCCAGCTTATTTTTTATTTTGAGACAGGGCCTTGCTAAGTTGCCCAGGCTAGCCTCAAACTTGTGATCCTCCTGCCTCAGCTTCCTGAGTTGCTGGGATTATAAGCTTGCTTCCTATGCCTGGCATGCCTTGGGGGGTGTTTTTTTTTGGTCATCCTTGTTTAAAAGGCTGGCATTGTGTAAATGCTAGAGACGGAGGTACATAGTTTTTAATGTCTGTAAATGGGTACTTTTTTTTTTTTTTTCCCCTGCGAGGCCTTTAGTGCTGGGATCTGAGTTAGTTTAGTTAAGAATAGGGCTGCGTTTGAATTTTTGCTCCTACACTTACCCTCAGTGTACTGCGCCTCAAATTCTCTTAAAAATACTTTGTGATTACTGGGTTGGGGCTCAGTGGTAGAGCGTTTGCCTGGCATGTGTGAGGCACTGAGTTCGATTCTCAGCACTGCATATAAATAAACTAATAAAATATAGGTTCATCAACATCTAAAAAAAAATTAAAAAATAAAGAAAAGAAGTACTTTGTGATTTCAGTGTTAGTTGGTTGATCAGAATGGTTTCCATTCTGAATTTCAGATCTTCCCCTTTGAACTGTGCCTTAGTTGTTGTTTTTCAACATACTTTTGTTTTTCTCTCATATCTCTTCCAATAGTGTTTTGCTGTTATTGTTCCTGAAAGTGTTAACTTGGAGGTGGGAAGGAGTAGTGGGATGTGGTCTCTGTTTGTTCCCTTTAAGCCTTGAGTTTGGACCTGAGTCCCCTGGCTCTTGAGGTGGGCTCAGTGTGGAATCCTGTCCCTCCCCACCCCAGCTGTGAACTTTAACCAGTGTCTTAAGGGTAGAAGTATCTTTGTCTTTCCTTTCGCAGATAAAGGCTGATTTCTTGGGTGAAAATAGGGGAAAGGATCTGGGCAAGTCTTGGCCCTCAGGCCTGGCTGCTATGTCACAAGTTGCATCATAAGACTGCATCACAATGGTCACTCCTCAGGGCTGTTTTCTCAGTGTCTGGGGAGGGGGGTGGGGCTGGGGCTGGTGGAGGAAGATCCTGCAGAGGGTTGGGGTCTCCCCAATTTCTGCGACCCCCAGTGGTTTCACACTGTCCTTCCAGCAAGACACTTTGGGCTTTTATCACTTTGCCTACTGTTCTACCTGAATTCCTCTTTTTGGTGTCCAGTTGCAGTCTATTCCAGGTAAGTACATAGTTGTTGCCTGTCTCTAGGCAGGCAGTCTCCTTTTTGAACCAACTGGTTGTTCTGTGATGGGTTCAAAGAGAGTCCTGAATTTGAAATTAGCCCAGCTCTTTTATCATTGGGAGGGGGGCAGCTATGCTTCTTCCAACTCTCTTTATTTCAGGGTATATAAGCCAGAAATGTGGTCACTCCTAAAGTTTTACCATGTTCATTTACTTAAGTCTAAACTTAATTATTATTCCTGTTCTCTTAAATAAGACCAAGCTTAACCCTTATCTCCTCTAATGTGTTTATGTTATTTATGTATTAGTTTTGTCTTGTTTAAGCCACCTTAAGCCTATAAAAATAGTGAACAGTTATTCACCAACTTGTACCATACTTCATTTACCCTATTTCTTCTTGGTTCAGTTTCCTTCTTTTTAATTTTTTTTTGTACTGGGGATTGAACTCAGGGGCACTCGACCACTGAGCCACATCCCTAGCCCTATTGTTTTTTATTTTTTGGTGGATAATATTTTTATTTTTTATATTTATGTGGTTCTGAGGATCGAACCCAGTGCCCCCATGCATGTTAGGTGAGCACTCTACCTTTGAGCCACAACCCCAGCCCCTCCAGCTCTATTTTTGTATTTTATTTAGGGACAGGGTTTCCCTGAGTTCTTGAGCACCTCGCAGTTGCTAAGGTTGGCTTTGAATTGCAATTCTCAGCCAGCCTAGGCTGGTGGGATCACAGGTGTGAGCACGCCCAGCCAGTTTCCTTCTGTATAAAGAATGTTCTTAAGTAGTTCTTACAGTAAGATTCTGTTAATAGTAAACTTGGATTCGGTATTTTTAATTTAATTTAATTTATTTATTTGTGGTGCTGAGAATCGAACCCAGGGCCTCACACATGCCAGGCAAGTGCTCTCCTACTCCAGCCCCTGGATTTGGTATTTTTTTTTTTAACTTATTTTTAGCTGTAGTTGGACACAATACCTTTATTTTATTTATTTATTTTTATGTGGTGTTGAGGATCAAATCCAGGGCCTCGCACATTCTAGGAGAGTACTCTACCGCTGAGCCACAACCCTAGCCCTGGATTTGGTATTTTTGAAAGTGTCTTTACTTCATTTTTACTCTATAATGATTGTTGAACTTGGGTACAGAATTTTGGATTGACAATTATTTTCCCCCTGCACATTTTTTTTTTGGGGAGGGTACAAGGGATCAAACCCAGGGGCACTTAACCCATGAGCTACATCCCTATACTTTTTATTTTGAGAGAGGGTCTTGCCAAGTTGCCCAGACTTGCCTCGAATTTGAGATCCTCCTACCTCAGTTTTCAGAGTCTTTGGAATTACAGGTGTGTGTCACCACAACCGGCTTGCCCTTTGCACTTTGATGGCATTACTCTCTTGTGTTTTGATAGGTCTTGTTTGTCAATGAGATGCCTGTAGTTCAGTTGTAATTTCTTTGTAGGTAGGTTATTGTCTTTTCTGTTGGGCTACCTTTTGAGATTTTTTTTTTTTTTTTTTTTTTTTTTTTTTTTTTAAAGAGAGAGTGAGAGAGGGGGACAGAGAGAGAGAGAATTTTAACATTTATTTATTTTTTCTTAATTCTCGGCGGACACAACATCTTTGTTGGTATGTGGTGCTGCTGAGGATCGAACCCGGGCCGCACGCATGCTAGGCGAGCGCGCTACCGCTTGAGCCACATCCCAGCCCCTTTTTGAGATTTTTTTGTTCTGCAGTTTCTTTGCAGTATTTCTAAATATGGATTTTCATCCTGCTTTTATTCGGTGTATTCCATCTGTTTGAGGATTCCTGATGTCTTTATTTGTGGGAAAAATGTTCCATTATTTTTGAAAATATTGTTTCTTCCTCATTTTCCATTTCTGGAACCATTCTTTAGATGTTGGAATTTCATTGTGTGCTCCATATTGCTTAAATATTCTTTAATATTTATATTTTTGCCTCTTCTTGACATGTATTTTATAAGTCACTAATTTCCTCTTTAGCTGTATCTAATCTATTTGTTAATCCACTTATTGGTTTTATTAAAAACATTTGTATTTTCAAATTCAAGAATTTGTTTTCTTTTAAATCTCTTTTTTTCATAAGGGATTTTCTTTGATCATTTAAAAATACAGCTATATTTAAGTAACCTTTGAATTATTTTCTTAACTAACTCTTGAGGAATGAAATCTCCCCCTTATCTTTTCCTCTTTTGCTCTGACGTTTTTGCTTGTTTCTTTCTGTGGTTTGGAGTATTTGACATCTTGGGTATTGTTTGCCAATGCCTGGGTTGTGGGATGCTCCTTTCTGTGGTTTTGCATTTATCTCTGATGGGACTCATTGCTTCTCTACTAGAGAATTTTTGGCCAATTGTCAGATGGGTCTCTGGCACCCTGAGAGTAGTGTGAATTTGGACTCTACATGTGTGTACAGCAAAGATTTGTTTTTTCCCTTCTGCTTTGATCATTCTTTCTAGGCACAGCCCTGCGCCTGGTGTATGTAGATTTTTTTTCTTTTTCACCCAAGGACAGCTCTTTGTTACATGGCATTTTGCTGGTGGTTCACTTGCAACTTTTTCCCAAGTACAGACTTGAGGCAATTTCTCTAATTTCCTGCTTTTATAAACATTATAGTTTGCAGTCTTTGATGCACAGGTCTTTGTCCTGTGAAGAATCTCATTTAATACACATCTGGTCTTTACCCCACTCCTTTTTGTTCTAGTTTTCTTCTTGACTGTTAGCTGGGAAGTAGTTCAACCAGTTAGGAACAAGGAAGTAGTTACAACCACAGGCATCCTCTATCTTGAACAGGTTATTTATCAAACGTTCATTTAGGTGTTGATTGTGTAGAACACAGTTCACATTATTCAGTAGAAACTGTTATTAAAAAAGTGGATTACTTTCCCAGGTAACACTCAGAAGCCTTTTCTTTCTGTTATGCAGTTGAAATTTGTATAGACTTGAGAGCTTGTTGGGACTAGTTGGCATATAGGAGGCGATTTCTGTGGGAAGGTGAATTTTAACTTTATCTTAGTGAGAAGAGAATATTGTGATTTCCAACCTCTATTAGTATCTCAGCCCATTTTCTGCTGCTGTAACAGAATATTGCAGATTGGGTAAGTTATAAGACATAGAAGTTTATTTGGCTCATGGTTCTGGAGGCTAGGATATTTGAGAACATGGCACCAGCGTCTGACAAGGACGTAGTGCCATGTTACCCCATGGTGGAAGGGCAAGAAAGCATCTGCTATACCAAGAGAGGAATTCAGGCCAAACTCATCCTTTTTGATGAGCAACCCATTCCCTCCCTCAGTAATGGCATTCATTCTTTAGTAGGGTAGAACCCTCATGATTTAATCAACTCTTAAGGGTCCTGCTTCTTAATAATTGTTACAATGGCAATTAAATTTCAACATAAGTTTTGGAGGGGACATTCAAACTGTAGCAGTTGGTCTCCCCTGTTGTGTCCTGCCAGCAACAGTTTCCCCCTGTTGTTGCCTATTCTCACCACTATTTCAAAGCTGCCATTAAATCATCATCATTCATACTTAGCACAGGATCTTGCTTCCACACTGCTGAGAACTTTGAACCTTGTGGCTGGTTTTCTTCAGACACCAATTACAAATTTTTCATCTCTTCCCACCCCAAAGTAGCCCTCTCCCATCTCAGAGATACTTTTTGATTCTCCATGCTGTTGGAGGCCAGTGCCTTGCTGGTGGCCCTCAGCTTCAGTGCCATTATTTTTACAGTCTTTTTCTATCAGTGATTCCCCTTCTTCTCATCCTGTTCCTAGTGATTCTCAGTGGGGAGGAGGATCAGCACATCTCGTGGGTAGCGGCCAGCAGATGTCCTGTGTTACACAAGACGACTATCCACAACAAAAAAATGACCTAGGCCCAAATGTTAGCAGTGCTGAGGTTGAGTCACCTTGCTGCATCCTTATACAATTTCATTAAAAAAAAAAAGCTTTATTTATTGATTTTTTTTTTTTTTTTTATGTGGAGGTGAGGATTGAACCCATTACCTTGCATGTGCTAGGTGAGCGCTGTACTGCTGAGCCACAATCCCAGCCCTACAGTTTGGCTTTTGACTCTATTATCTTATCCCTAAGGTTCTCATGCTAGAAAACCTTCCCTGAGCTGGATGCTGTGGCACAGGCCTGTAATCCTAGTGACTCAGGAAGCTGAGGCAGGAGGATTGCAAGTTCAAGGCCAGCCTTAAAATTTAGCAAGACCCCGCCTCAAAATTTAGCTTTAGCAAGACCTTGTCTCAGAAAATAAAAAGGGCTGGGACTTAGCTCAGCAGTGGAGTGCCCCTGGTTCAATCCCCAGTACTACAAAAAAAGAGAAACAAAAAACCTTTCCTGAACAAACCATCCACTTCTTTCCTAGCTAGCTAACTCTCTCTCCTGTTCATTTTAATTTTTTTTTTTTTGCCCCCTTGGTAATAGGGATTGAAGCCAGGGGCACTTTACCAATGAGCTACATCCCCAGTTCTTTTTAAATTTTCTTTTATTTTTATGATAGGGTCTCACAGAGTTGCTGAGACTCTTAAGTTGCTGAGGCTGGCCTCCAAATTGCAATCCTCCTACTTTAGCTTCCCTAATAGCTGGGATTAAAGGTGTGTGCCACCACATCCAGCACATCTAAACTTTTGAAAAGAGTGGTCTATACATAGCATATCCATTTCTCATTCACTTCAGCTGTTGCTCTCTGGCTTCCCACCTCCATCATCACTTAAATTGTTTTTGCTGAGATCACTTGTGACCTCTTGTATGCTGCATCTTGTGGATTCATTTGGTCCTAATTTTACTTGACATTTCTCTTGCACCTGACACTGTTAATCTCTCTGTTCTTGAAACAGTGTATCCTATCGGTATCTCTGTTCTCCATGTCCTTCTCTTATAGTTCTTTCTCTGCCTCCCCTGTGAACTCTTACTGATCTTTTATTCCTTATACACTGCTGTTACTTGTGTTTAACTTCTTGGCCAAGGGTTATCATAAGCTAT